TATTGGGTTGTAGAATAGAGTGACTCTAAAAGAGGGCTTTGTCCTTCCTGTTTTCATTGCTTTAAAACACCTCACCAGATATTCTGTTAGGTACAGATGTAAATGTGGTGGATCAGAACTTTGTCTAAAAAGCACTTGAAAAACATTAAGTAAGCAATGAGTACCTTACAATGCAATGAGTTAAATGCTTTCTACAAAAAAGTGCCTTATGAGGCAGCTCATGAAGTTCCAGCTAAAGTCAAAAACTGTAGAGATATCCTTTCATATGGATTTCCCTCAACACCCCCCTCACCCCAGGCCCTGAATTATGACATGACAAGCTGGAACCTCAGAAACATGGGCTGTCATAACAAGACATTGAAACAGCAACAAATGCATCACCAGCCATCCTGCCATGGTGAGGTTATTAAACAGATGGGGGGGGGGGGCACCAGTGAGAAAGAATCCCCTATTGGTTCCACCTGTGGCACTTCAGAAGTCCCCAGCAACTGTTTAGTGTCCAAATATGTTGCGGTTCAAAGAGGTGCTTCCAGGAATATGGTGGTCCTAGGCCATGCATGACTCATGGTAAGTATTTTGGAGCATTAATATGCCTGTACAATATACGATTGTTTGAGCTTAAGGATTTTATTTTAAAGTAATTTATTGATGTTACATTCATACCTATAATGTATGTACATTTGTCATTTCTGTTGCACACAATATCATACATCTTGTGACCCTTTCTTTAGCTGTGTTGTGTTCTTGAGCATAGGTGCATCTGTTATACGCATCAGTTAGGTTTTCTCATGACGTGGTGCCTGGTATTCAGGTCAGGCCGCATGACATTGATATACCATTTGGGAGGGAAAATGCACCCAAGCAAACCAGCACTGGAGGCCAAGATGGAGAAGATCTCCATAGCCACCATGAACTTTCCTTTCGTGCTCAGGTAGGTTGGAACAAAGGTCAGCCAGATGCTGCAGAAGACCAGCATGCTGAGCGTGATAAACTTGGCTTCATTGAAACTATCAGGTAATTTCCTTCCCAGGAAAGCCACCATGAAGTTAACCATGGCCAGGAAGCCCATAAAACCCAGGACACAATAGAACAGGAGAGTGAAACCCTCCTTACATTCCAGGAAGATTTCTTCAGTCATCGAATGCATGTCATACTCTGGAAATGGAGGAGAGGTAGCTAGCCAAATTGTGCAAATCACAGCTTGAATCAGGGAACTGGAAAGAACAAGGCCATTAGCCAGCTTTGTCCCCACCCATCTCCTCATTCTGGATCCTGGCTTAGTGGCCAAGAAAGCGAGCACCACAGTGATGGTTTTGGCCAAGACAGAAGAAACAGCCACTGAGAAAATGATACCAAAAGCAGTTTGTCGAAGGAGGCAGGTCACCTTGTGAGGCTGGCCAATGAAGAGCAAAGCACACAGGAAGGAGAGCAGGAGTGAGACCAGAAGAGTGAAGGTGAGGTTCCTGTTGTTGGCCTTGACTATGGGAGTGTCTCTGTGCCTGACGAAGATCCCAAGCACCAAGGCCGTGATCACAGAAAATCAAAGAGCAACGAGAGCCAAGCTGATTCCCATTGGTTCTTCAAAAGACAAGAAAGTTATCTTTTTGAGAATGCAGAAGTCCCGATTGTCATTTGGATATTGATCTTCTGGACATGGAGAACACTCATTCATGTCTGAAAAAGAGGATATTATATGTGTGTTCATGTGCCTGCAGATGTGAGACACATGGTACTTCCTAAGAATAGAGATCTTAACTCCCTCAACTAGAACAGAAAGGTCAAATTATTTTTATTTATTTTATTTTATTATTTATTAAAACATTTTTATGCCGCCCCATTCGCCGAAGCCTCGGGGCGGCTCACATCAATAAATTAAAATAATTATAATATAAATTAAAATATAAATATAAAATTAAAATACAACAGTACAGTATAAACTAAGCCGCCCTGGCCAGATAAAACCAATAATGTTAACAGTTAAAATGCCGCTTGAATAAAAAGGTCCTCGCCTGGTGCCAAAAAACAAATAACGACGGCGCCAGGCGGACCTCTCTGGGGAGCGCGTTCCATAACTTAGGCGCCACCGCGGAGAAAGCCCTCCTCCGAGCACCCACCCTCCTAATTTCTTTCATGGAGGGTTCCCGGAGAAGGGCCTCCCCCGCCGATCTCAAGGGGTGGCTGGGCATATATGGATGCAAGCGCTCCTTCAGGTAACCAGGTAATCATGTTGCTACCATTCCTATGCTATTCTGTTTGGAATTAATGAATCTTGAGGCTACTGGCTTTATTGGCTAAGGGTTGCTTTCTTTTCCAGAGGTGGTATGCCTGCACTCTTCCATTGCTGAGGAAGTTGGAGAAGAGGAATTATCCCATCCATTCTGCTTGAAGGCTCCTGTGGTCAGCTGAGTCTGGTGAGGAATCCTGAGTGTATGGAGTGCTGGACTAGGTGGACGTTTGTCCTGATCCAGCATGCCTCTGCTTATATCCTCAAACTCAGTTTTTCCCAAAGAGATAATAAAGGAGTTGCCATAAACACCAAATTCACTTGTCTGGACATACCGAAAGCTTCACTTTTCCTTCAGCCCCTTTTCTTTATATGAACACGTATGCCATCTACATAATTGATCCCCATATGAACAAGCACCACTTGACTATCAACATTTCCCTCTCATACAGGATAAAGGAAGGTATCTTTAAAGAAACATGCCATTGAGAGGAACCAGAACAGGAAATTCTGGTTGCCAAGAATTTAGTAGACATCATTTGGAAAATGCAATAGTACAAGGAAATGGAAGGGATTAAAGAAGCCTTTTGCACTTCAGCCAAGGGGCCTCTGTTATATTCATTAGTTAAGTTTTCTCATGAGGTGGTGCCTGCTATTCAAGTCAGGACGCATGACAATGGTGTAGCATTTGGGGAGAGAAATGCACCCAAGCAACCCAGCACTGGAGGCCAAGATGGAGAGGATCTTCACAGTCACATGTACTTTCATATGGTGCTCAGGTAGGTTGGAACAAAAGTCAGACAGATGCTGCAGAAGACCAGAATGCTGAGCATGATAAACTTGGCTTCAATGAAACTGTCAGTCAGTTTCCTGCCTAGGAAAGCCACCATGAAGCTAACCATGTCCAGGAAGCCCATAAAACCCAGGACACAATAGAACAGGAGAGTGGAACCTCCCTACCTTCCAGGATGCTTTCTTCAGTCATTGAATGCATGTCAAAATCTGGAAATGCAGGAGTGGTTGCCAGGCAAATTTTGCAAGTCAGAATATAATAGTTAGAGTAGTACCCTCAATATGGACAGAAAGGACAAATCAAGTTGCCACCATTCCCAGATTCTTCGCTTTGCAATTAACGAAACTTGCGGCTAGTAGCATTTCTGACTTTGGGCTACCTTCTCTACCAGAGATGGTATGCCTGCATACATCAGTTCCTGAGGAACTATGGGAAAGGGGGTATCATCACCATCATCATCAACAACAACATTTATAACCTGTCTTTCTGACAAGCTGTCAGGACGGCTTACATAATATAAAATTACAAAATACAGTATTGACTTGACAATTATAATATATATATATATAAAACAGGATATCATAAACTAAGAAAAAAGGGAGTGAAAAATAGAAAATATGACTGTGGGGAAGGAAAAAAATCTTAAATCATTTTAAACCCTTGATTATTAAAATGATGGATGAATAAAAAGATCTTTACCTGGTGCCAGAAGAAGTATAATATCAGTGCCAGGTGGATCTGGGGAGCGCCTTCCATAGTCTGGGCAGAGAAGGCTCTCCTCCTCTTTCAAAGAGGGTTCCTGGAGCAAGGCCTCCCCTGTAAGGGGCATATTCTACCCATCTTGCTCAAGTGCTTAAGAATTCCACCCATCCTGGTTGAGTACTCCTGAGGTCAGTCGGATATGGTGGAGGATCCCGTGTGTACAGAGTGCCTGACTAGGAGAACATTAGGTCTGATTCAGCATGGCTTTTCTTACATTCTTAAACTCAGCATTTCCCACAGAGATAACATAGAAGGAGTTGCCATAAACTCCAAATTCATCTTGTCTGGACATATGGAAAGCTTCTGTTTGCCTTCAGCCACTTTTCCTCACATGAATAAGCATGCTATGTACATAGTTGATCCCCATATGAAGAAGTACCACTTGACTATCAACAGTTTTTTTTCATACAGGAAATAAAAAGCTATATTTAAAGAAACATGCCAATGAGAGAAATCATATACAAAAGCATGCTTGAGTAGTATGTGACACTTCCTACCCATCTGGCTTGAAATCTTCCCTTGGGGACATGGAAAGCAGTCATAGAAACAAAATGGCTCCCCTTCCTTCTTTTGCTTCCTGTAACCCAACGACAGACTTGATTACAATGTGGGACTGTCTGAACCTGTTTGGAAATGAAAATGTTTCATGCTTTTACATTTATAAAAAAAAAAAAATTGGACTCAGTATCCCACTGCTTATTCTGCAGTTAAGTAGTGGGTCCATAATAGCAGGATGGAATGCTCGTAATTAGCATGTGCAGATAATGGTTTCCTTGACCCCAAATGCCATATAAGATCTCATTATGTTTTCAGAAGACATGCTACATCTGGTCTTCCAAGGTAGTGGCTGATACTGGATTTTTTTTTAATTTATTTTTTGAGGAAGGTCTTCACCTGGCAGCGAAAATAAAGGAAGGAAGGTGCCAGATGGATCACTTTGGGGATAGCATTTCAAATATGGGGAACAGCTGCAGAAAAGTCCCTCCTCCAGCAGCCATACCTCTCAATTCCTTAAGGGATGGCTCACACAGGAGGGCCCCCTTCTTAGACCACAAAGGTTGGGGAGACACAAATGGGTGCAGGAACTGTCTAAGATAAATTAATATATTGGATTACATTTATATTTATACTGTATGTACATCTGTCAGTTCTGTTACAAACAATATCAAACTTCTTGTGACTCTTTGTTTAGCTGTGTTCAGTTCAAATACTTTATATTTCTTAATTACTTTTTCTCATGAGGTGGTGCCTGCTATTCAAATCAGGATGCATGACAATGATGTAGCATTTGGGGGGGAAAATGCACCCGAGCAACCCAGCACTGGAGGACAAGATGGAGAATATCTCCACAGCCACCATGGACTTTCCTTTTGTGCTCAGGTAGGTTGGAACGAAGGTCAGCCAGACGCTGCAGAAGACCAGCATGCTGAGTGTGATAAACTTGGCTTCATTGAAACTATCAGGTAATTTCCTTCCCAGGAAAGCCACCATAAAGCTAACCATGGCCAGGAAGCCCATAAAGCCCAGGACACAGTAGAACATGGTCACTGAACCTTGGTTGCATTCCAGGATGATTTCTTTAGTCATTGATTGCATGTCAAAATCTGGAAACGGAGGAGAGGTAGCCAGCCAAATTATGCAAATCATGGCTTGAATCAGAGAGCATGAAAGAACAATGGAGTTAGCCAGCTTTGTCCCGACCCATCTCCCCATTCTGGATCCTGGCTTGGTGGCCATGAAAGCGAGGACTACAGTGATGGTTTTGGCCAACACACAAGAAATGGCCACCGAGAAGATGATAACGAAAGCAGTTTGTCGTAAGAGACAAGTCAGCTTGTTAGGTTGGCCAATGAAGAGCAAAGCACACAGGAAAGAGAGCAGGAGCGAGACCAGGAGAGTTAAGGTGAGGTTCCTGTTGTTGGCCTTGACTATGGGAGTGTCCCTGTGCCTGACAAAGATCCCAAGAACCAAAGCTGTAATTGCAGAAAAGGACAGAGAAAAGAAAGACATGCTAATTCCCAGAGGTTCTTCATAAGACAAGAAAGCTATTTTTTTGCCAATGCAGAAGTCCTGATTCTCACTTGGATATTGATCTTCTGGGCACCAGGAACACTCATTCATGTCTGAAATAGAGGAAATTATATACGTGGTCATGTGTCTCCAGATATTCACCGCATGGTGCTTTATACTAATCTATATGTTAGCTGCCTCACTATGGACAGAAATGTCAAATCAAGTTGCCATCATCCCCAAGCTATTCCCTCTGCAATAAATGAAATTTGTGGCTAATAGCCTTCTTGGCTTTGGGCTACCTACATTACCAGAGGTTTTATGCCTCAATATACCAGTCACTGAGCATCCTGGGCAGGAGGACGCCTTCCACCCATCCTACTTGAAGGTTCCCGTGGTCAGCTGGATCTGGTCTGGTTTCTTGTCTGTACGCAATGCTGGACTAGGTGGACTTTAGGTCTGATGCAGCATGGCTTTTCTTACCTTTTAAAGCTCAGCTTTTCCCACAGTGATAAAAATGTAGGGGTTGCTATAAACTCCCAATTCATCTTGTCTGGACAATATGGAAAGTTTCTTTTTTCTTTCAGCCCCTTTTGTTCATATGAATATGTTTGCTACCTACATAATTAATCCCTTATATCAACAAGCACTACTTTGACTATCAAAAGTTTCTTCTCATACAGGAAATAGGAAGGTATATTCAAAGAAAAATGCTAATGAAAAGATCCATAACAGAAAAATATGTTTCTATAGTATGAGACATTTCCTACCCATGTGGCTTGAAATCTTCCCTTGAGGACATGGGAAGCAGTCGTAGCAACAAAATGGCTCTCCTTCCTTCTTTCTCTTTCTGTAGCCCAACTGGCAGGCTTGGCTACAAAGTGAGACTGGCTGGACCTGTTTGGAAATGAGAATGTTCAATGCTTTAACATTTATAAAATAGATTTTTGGATTTGATATCCCAGTGCTTATTCTACAGTTAAGTACTGGGTCCATAATAGTTAGATAGAATTCTCCTAATTAACATGTGCAGATAAAGGTTTCCATTAGCTATGCATGCCATATCAAGGTCTTGTCCTGTTATCAGAGAAGGTGGTGCGCCCAGTTGTCATATGCAGTCACTGATACTGCATCCTTATGAAAACACAATGCAATAAAAGAGAAGCAACCACTTCCACACACAACCCGTAACACATGCTCGATGTCTGTCTCTTTGGGATCCTTCCCAACAGGATTTATGAAAAGATCTCCAACAACTTGATCAAATTTGCTGCTATTTCTTTACTTGATGCTGCACAGTTTCCAGAACATTTTCAATAATACGGCATTACATCCTTAGTGGGCACCATTCAGTAAAAGTGGGTTCAGGGTCTCTGCCAGGAGGCTCTTCACTATATTTAATTCATGGCTGACTTGGGCCTCACTAATAGCAGAGCACAGAAGTAGTTCTACTGTGGCACCTGAAAATTAATTTCCTTGAAAAAGGAGTGGATGATGAGAAGAGCCTTGATCTGTGTACTGACTGTACCCCATTAAAGTTTCTGGGCCACATCATCGCATCCACATTAATGCTGAGCATCTTGTCTTCAGGAGCACTCGAGTCAATTTTTCCAACTTTGACTCGAATAAAAGACAGGTTTGAGAAAGTAAGCCAGTTCAGAATATCAAATCCAGCTAGCAGATTCCCATTTTTGTCCAAGGAAACCTCTTCACCTGCAGCATTGTTAAATGATGCACTTCGCAGATATTGGTGAAGCTGTCATGAAAGAATAATGAAACAAAGGGCAGAGATGTGCATTCAGAAGATGGTGTAAGTATATATCCCACAGGTCAAAATTGTTTTAGGCTTCCTTCCTTTTGTTTCTTTGTTCCTGTTGCTCTTTTATTCATTACTTGTTTGTTTATTGCACTGCAGTGAAATTCGTGATTTACAAAATGCAATATTAAAAGGAAATGGAAGGGATGAAAGAAGCCTTATACAGTTCAGTCTGCAAACGCACCAGTAATACCACAAGCTGACACCTATTGCTCAAAGAACTGCAACAAGGAAAGGTGGCAACAAATCATTTAAAAATGAATGACATCCATGATATGTATGGATGCATGATCGAAAGAGTCAAAAATGAATGTATGGGTAGTCATGATGTTTCAAGAACTCAGTGGGAACCATCCTATCTTGATAAAGAGTTTCCTACATTGCTTGGGAAAAAGTGCCCCCGTTACAAAGGCCTTGTGACTCTGGGAAGGTGTGGCCTGAGAATAGGAAGGTACAATGGGGGGTGCAGACATGAAGTCCATCCAGTGCTCAATCATCTCAATTTTCTCAGAATGCTTCAGTAATGTAAAGTGGGACCAGAATGGACCCAGTGTTATCTAGTCAATGGATGCAGCTGTATCATAAAGAATGGGTCACAGCAGTGACAGTATACGAAGGCTATTATTTCACTGGAAGCTCAGGTGACAGCAGTGGCGAGGAGCACTTTCCTTCAGCTTCGGCTGATTCATCAGCTGCGCCCCTACCGGAAGTACGACTGTCTGGCGACAGTGACACATGCACTGGTGACTTCCCGCCTTAACTTCTGCAACGCGCTCTATGTGGTGCTACCCTTGAAGACGGTCCGGATACTTCAACTGGTTCAAAATAGAGCTGCCAGGCTGCTGACGGGGACTGGGCGTTATGTTCACATGACTCCAGTTCTCCGTCAGCTTCACTGGCTTCCCATTGAAGTCCGGGCCCATTCAAGGTATTGGTGATGACCTATAAAGCCCTAAACAGCTTGGGTCCTGGTTACCTGAAGGAGCGCTTACATCCATATATGCCCGCTCGCCCGCCCCTTGAGAACTGCAGGAGAGGCCCTTCTCTGGGAACCCTCCGTGAAAGAAATCAGGAGGGTGGGTACTCGGAGGAGGGCTTTCTCAGCAGTGGCGCCTAATCTATGGAATGAGCTCCCCAGAGAGGTCCGCCTGGCGCCGTCATTATTTGTTTTTCAGCGCCAGGAGAAGACCTTTTTATTTAAGCGTCATTTTAACTGTTAATATTATTGGATCTTATCTGGCCAGGGCAACTTATTTTATATTGTTATTTTTTATATATTTTAACTTATTGCTTGCATTTTACAAACATTTTAATTTAATGTTATAACTTAATGTTTGTATTTTAACTTAATGCTGTGAGCCGCCCAGAGGCTTCAGTGAATGGGGTGGCATAAAAATGTTTTAATAAATAAATAAATAAATAAATAAATAAATAAAATTATATAAGAATTAAAAGAAATTAATTATCAAGCTCAGTACACTTGGAAATTGCCCACAAGAGCTTTCCAGTCTTGGTGTGCAGAACACCTTACCTGCCAGGCCTGATAAGCTGGTTGCTCCCATCTTTTTCCATGTACCCACACTCTCTTTTGAGATTTTGATAAATGCAAGGATCTCAAAGCATGTGCCACAGCATGGACAGCATTGTAGACGTTGTAGCTGTGGCTGCTCATGCCCAGTTCAAATACGGACCCAGGAAGGCTCTCCAGCTTCTCCTCACCACTGCAGATGTCATCATCCTGCTTTTCAATTTTCTTCTTTAGGAACACGCAGCTAAATGCCTGTTGCCAGAACTCCCTGATGAAGCCATCTTCTTTGTCTGAGGTGGGATTCCTCCTCTGAAGGAACTGCTGGAATCCAGGAACATCCTTTGAGTGGATGGCAAAGGACAGAGCACCATGCAGGATGTCGATGTCCCATAATCTTTGAAAAGGAATTGAGGTGGATTCCATCTGGGCTGTCATAATCCAGACTTTCCCTTCCATCTGAATTTGTATGTCTTCAACTTCTGAAAATTTGGGAAACATTCTCAAAAATATCATGGTGTGACTTTCCCCATTGATTACTACAACATTAGCGGTGCTACTCATAATGTCATTGTATGTTTCAATCCACTCTGCTACCATGTTAGCAATGTCCTTGGTAAAATAGACAGTTGGCAATGTTGCTATGAATTCAAAACAGATGCCTCTCTGGGAGAATTTGGGGAGTACCGTCTGCACAAATCTTTGTCCATTCTGATCATGTATAATGATCACCCCAATCCATGTCCACCTGAAAGCCAGCAGCAATCGAAGAATGCCCATATATTGGTGGTCCCCAGTTGGGAACATCCGCTGGAAGAAGGTGCCTTGGCTTTCATCAGTCATGACTGGAAAAGAGCCGAACCCAAGCTGGAAAGACAAAGAAAAAATAAAGTACTCTGAATACTTATGTGTAAGTCAATCAAAGGCCAATTTTTTTTTTCTCAGAAAGGATACACTTAGAAGGCAGTATGGAAGAAATCTAATGGGAAGGTGTTGATCTCAAATGCTCAAGACCTCAGGAAAATGCTGCAGAAATCATTACAATTGTATTAACATCTTACCCTCCATAAATTTACCCTACCTGTGGTATCTTGTAGATATGCAGCATGGTTGCAAGGAAGAAGCACTCATCTGAGTTGGGCCCCCCAATGACAGCCACTACATTCTGTTGGTTATCACATTTGTAGTTCGGAAGGAATCTGCCCCATGTGGAAAGTAGGTCTATTGTGGCACGGAAGGTCCAGGTTGCAACAAAATTACTGTTGTAGATGTGGAAGCCCAACGTGAGGTTTGAGAGAGTCAGGAGATTCTTGTTGCTCTCATTTACAGCAAAAACCAAGGCTAGGAGGTGTTGGTAGGTGGGAGTCACAAACCTGCAATAGGACTGAGATGCTGCATCAGAGAGTCTCAGGGCATGACTGGGGCTGTTTTACATTTCCTTTCAACAGGTTTTGGGAATGATTACAAGGTTCTACTTCAGGGAAGTGTGATGAAGCCTTGTTGGAAAGATACCCCTGGACTGCTGATGCTTCTCCCAGCACCATTTCATGGAAGGCATCTTCAAAATAAGCTTCATTGTTTGATGTATTTTTTCATATCATGCACTTTGAAATTTCCTCAAATAGGGTGCAAGCTCAGGTGAGTTTTCTGAGCACATAGGGACAGGGCTGCTAAGCATAATTGGATGCTTTTTGGTATTTCAGTAGACATTGTTCAGTGTGAGAAAAAGGCTGTCTACAGAATTCCATGCATTCTCCTCGTGCTACCGTCACACTTGGGGCTCTATCTCATTGTGTAATGTGTACATATGTAGTCATGTAAACTAGTCCTCTACTGCATTTAGAAACACATGGTAGTCAATCAGGCTTAATTTCAGCACCCTAGCTTTTTTAGCTTTTACCAAAACAGAAAAGAATAGAACAGAATGGGATGGAAAAGGACTGGAGAGGACCGAAGAGAACAGAACAGAACTGCAGTCTGGCTCTTTTGTTACCCCAAATAATGTAAATATTTTGGGGTGCAGGAATTCAGGTGCATTACAAATCCTCTAAGTCAGTGTGGAGCAGCAAGAGAAGAGGAAACAAACAAACAAGCAAATGTAAACCAAATGCAAAGCAAAAACAATTTCTGTGGACATACTGGGCTGATAAAATCAATGTTACCCTAATTACAGGTTGATGTTGGACAGGCTTAGTCTGAAATTATCTGGACCAGTGAAACCTGAAACTCATTGCAACACTGATTGCATGGTGTTGGGGGAAGAGGTCTTTGGGCCATTTCACTTCCAAGAGGTGCTTTTGTATCTGGATAGAAAACTATTACTCTAAACAATGAATGAGAGGGGGGAGGGGGTTAAATACTGAATCAAGATGTGAGTCTCCTTATGGCAAACCTTCCAAAGAAGGTGTTCAAATTCAAAATCTGAATACTGATATGAAAGCCTGATGGACCATCCTGTATGAGAATATTATCTAAAGAGACATATGGAAGAACAGGAGGTCTTGAACTGAATGCTTTAATAAAAATAGTTCACTTATTAGAGTGAAAATGAGTCTTGAACAGATTTTACAGCAGAAAAAATAATTTCTCATCTGCAAACAATGTTCGTGCAATATCACTGTTAGTACAAAGTGTGTTGCAATCCTCTAAATGGCTTTGGCTGCAAAAGACTCTACAAGCCACCTCTTTGGATGTTCCTGTAGTCCTTAAACTTACATGAGGTCTTCAAGGAGTCCAAGAGAGGGGTTTGTTCTGAAGGTGATAGGACTGAAGAACATATAAAACTGAGAGAGGATGCCAGCAATGGTGAGGTCTCCTGACTGATAATATTGATGATTTATGGGAAGAGGGTCACTGATCATACAGCTGGCGACTCGGGCATTGCACACAGTCTGAGGCAGAAGGAATACAAAGACCAGCAGCAACAGAAGTGCTGCACTGCCAGTACAGTACTCCTTCAGACAACACTTAACCTGTCCTGTCATTGCCTTTCAGGGGTTCCTGAGCAGCCCAGCTTTTGCTCTATGGAATGGTCAGCCAGCTTAGCCAGAGGCAGGACTGCACAGCAGGATGGAACACAAGTGGCCTCAAAATAATTTCCCTTCTTTAGTCCTTCCTGTGAAGCACACTAGTTTCTTTATAGCCTCCTTCAATGTTTTTTGTTGTTTTGCTGGGGACAATTCAACTCCCTTGCTACTTGCATGTGAAGAAGAACCAGTGATCACCAACTTGATAATTACAAGTGAGTTAATAACCTTCCTGGAATTCAAAGTGTTTATTTTTAAAGTGCAAAATTATTTGAAGATTTTTTCAAGTCATATATAGATTGCATTAAGGAATTATGAACTTAGCAAGTTCCATTTTGTCTTCATTTCATAGATTGTCTTGTGCCATTTGTTCTGCTGCTTCCCAACCCCTATTGACAGACTTGGATTTTGCATGTATGCATTTGTTTATACGTAATTTCACAAACTCACACTTCTGTAAATTTGCACTTCTGAAAATGCACAAATCCCAAATAATCAGATCCCATTCACCAATTCTGCATTTTCACATTTTTGACAATAAAGAGTGTATTTTTCCGTGATGATATATCATTTTAATTTGTTATTAGAAATGTATTTCTTTCTACTTATTTCTACAGTATTGGGCTGCAATAAAAGAGGCTGTAGTGTTTTCTTTTTTGCTTTCATTATCAAATGCCACCGGTTCATTGCTTTTAAAAGTCTCAAAAAATGTCCTGCTGGGAACAGAAGTGAAAGTGGTGTATCAATCATTTTTGTAAGGAACACATAAAGAACTTTGATCAGAAAATGTGGATCACATGCTAAATGCTTCAAATGGAAAAGTGCAGTATAAGGCAGCTTGTGTAGTTTCCTGGTAATGATCAGCATTCAGTATATTTATCCAGACCAAAAAGCATTGTGTTGAGGAAAAGTTTTGTCGTCATTGAAAAGCCCACATGCCCCGTCCCCCCCACACTTTTTTTGGCAACGTTTGCCAACTCACAAGGATAGAAACTTTTATTTCCCATTCAACTCTACTAAAGCCAAATACTATGGAGATATCATTTGAGATAGATTTCCTCAAACCATCTCCATAATTAAGACATGAGAATGAGTAAATCAAGTCCCTAAGCCTACTGAGAATCAGAAAGGAGGGGAACAATTTATATATTTATGTATTTATTCTATTCTGCCACATAGAGGCTCAAAAAAGAAGGCTCAAAGTACAATACAAATTACATGACATCAGAAAAAAAATAAAAAGTTAAAAAATGTGAAAAGAAGATTAAAAGAACAACAATACAAACGAAAATGAGTAAATTTTCAGAACATCTGTTTATGCACTTCAAGCTCTTTGGTGGCTGAGTAAGTCATTCAAAACCTCCAAAAATGGGCCATCTTACCCTGGAACTGACAGGATGCCAAATTTGGCATCAGCCAGGCTTCAGATTGGAAGGTATTCTGCAGATGGGGACCACTATTCCCCATTGATGCCACCGTCAGCACTTTCCACCGAGCTTGTACTTGAAGGAAAAATACGAAGAATGATTTCATAGTGTCCAGGCTGATTGTGGTTGGGAGACGCACTCCCTTCACCCTAACTATGCCTTATGCATTCCATGTTCTTTAGAGTTTCAATGTGTGTGTAGAATATGCATTCCTTTGAAGTTAAGCTTCCTATGTTCAATGTGATATATAGGTCTTAATTTTACATTGGTACTGTATGTAAATTTGTCACTTCCGTAACGCACAATATTATATTTTTTGTGACCCACTGTTTTGCTGTCTTGGGTTCTTGTGCATTATATCTCTTAATTTAGTTTTCTCATGAGGTGGTGCCTGCTATTCAAGTCAGGCCTCATGACAATGATAGAGCATTTGGGAGGGAAAATGCACCCGAGCAACCCAGCACTGGAGACCAAGATGGAGAAGATCTCCACAGCCACTACGTACTTCCCTTTTGTGCTCAGGTAGGTTGGAATAAAGTCAGCCAGATGCTGCAGAAGACCAGCATACTGAGTGGGATAAACTTGGCCTCATTGAAACAATCAGGTAATTTCCTGTCCAGGAAAGCTACTGTGAAGCTAACCATGGCCAGGAAACCCATAAAAGACCTCACGCAATAGAACAAGAGAATGGAACCTTCCTTACATTCCAGGATTATTACTTCAGTCATAGAATGCATGTCAAAATCTGGAAACGGAGGAGAGGTAGCAAGCCAAATTGTGCAAAAAACTGCTTGAATCTGGGAACTGGAAGGGACAATGCAATTTGCCACTTTTGTCCCCAACCATCTCCTCATTCTGGATCCTGGCTTAGTGGCCATGAAAGCAAGGACCACAGTGATGGTTTTTGCCAACACACAAGAAATGGCCACCAAGAAGATGATACCAAAAGCAGTTTGTTGAAAGAGACAAGTCAGCTTGTGAGGTTGGCCAATGAAGAGCAAAGCACACAGGAAGGAGAGCAGGAGGGAGTCCAGGAGAGTGAAGGTGATATTTCTGTTGTTGGCTTTGACTATGGGAGTGCCCTGTACCTGATGAAGATCCAAAGCACCAAAGCCATGATCAATGAAAAGGACAGAGACAGACTAGTCAAACTGCATCCCAGTGGTTCTTCAAATGTGAGAAAGCTGATTTCTTTGGGAATGCAGGAGTCCTGGTGCTTTCTTGGATAGTGGTCATCAGGATATTTGTAACATTCATCCATGTCTGAAAAACAGAGAATGCTGCACATTAACATCTTGCATGCACTGCCGTGGAGTCATTCCTATTATTAAGTTCGATAGCTCAAAACCATTTTGCACAAGTAATTAGATTTGGAGGAATCTATGCTCATCAATTCTCCAACACAACCATGGCTTTTTGTTCATATGAATTGATTAACATGATTGCTAGTACTCAAAAATTTTCCTTCCATGGACATCACAAACCAGGAATTATGCTCTCCCTCTTGGCATTATCTGAACTCTTTCCTTTTCATGGAATTATGTGTCATGGAAAAATACATAGAGATATCTTGTGGTTCTTTTGAACTGTATTCCATTATCATCGGAAAAGCAAGACAGGAAACATATTCAAGAAACAGCAATCAGGGACAATTGAATGTGCAGCAATCTGATTTGGTTTAAGTCCTTCTTTAGAATCAGTCTTAAACATCCAAATCCAGAAAACTAGATGCTACAAAAAGTAAGCATTTTCTCCCCTCCTCCATCATTCTTAAGTTTTAAAATCTTTTCTTCCACTTGCTTAACTTTGCTTCTTGGAATACCCCAAAGGGGCTGAGGCAAAAGTGTTTCAGAAGCACATGGTGTTAGCATACTCCCAATGAAAGCAGACCTACAAACAACGTTGTGTCCAGCCCCACAGAACACATCACTTTTTCATTCACTGGGTGTTTTCTCTGCTCAGTCCTGACCTTGCAAATGAAACATCTTGCAAAGTGCAAATATGCCAAGGGTCAGGGAAACATTTTGTACATGAGTATTGCATATCCACATATATACCCACCTAGCACAGTAGTAAGAGGGGTGGAATTGGTGTGAAAATGAGAAGTCCCTCATTACAGAGCAGAACACGATTCTGCATTTGGGTCTCCAAGGCATATTTGTACTCCTGGCCTATTCAACAGTGGGTTCACTTTGTGGGAGATGCCTGGGTGATTTCATGATGAGGAAGCAGAGAATGGGAGGGTGGTTGGACAGACAGACTGACTGACCGAAAGACAGAAGTTGCCTGCCTTGTTGTTGTTAGTCATGAAGTCGTGTCCGACTCATTGTGACCCCATGGGCAACACTCCTCCAGACCTTCCTGTCCTCCACCATCCCCCGGAGTCCACCTAAGCTCACACCAACTGCCTCAGAGACTCCATCTAGCCACCTCATCTTCTGCCATCCCCTTCTTCTTTTGCCATCTATTGTTCCCATCATTAGACTCTTCCCCAGGGAGTCCTTCCTTCTCATTAGGTGGCCAAAGTATTTGTGTTTCATCTTCACTATCTGGCGTACTAAAGAGCAGTCAGGGTTGATCTCCTCTAGGAATGACTGGTTTAATCACCTTGAGATCCAAGGGACTTGCAGGAGTCTCCTCCAGCACCACAAATCAAAACACTCAATCCTTTTGCACTCAGCCTTCCTTATGGTCCAGCTTGCACAGCCATACATTGCAACTGGGAAAACCATAGCCTTGACTATACACACTTTTGTTGGCAGGGTGATGTCTCTGCTTTTTAGTATACTATCTAGATTTGCCGTAGCTTCCCTCCCAAGGAGAAAGCATCTTTTAATTTCTTGGCTGCAGTCCCCATCTGTGGTGATCTTGGAGCCCAGGAAAATAAAATCTGTCACTACCTCCATTTCTTTCCCGTTTATTTGCCAGGAAGTGAGAGGACTGGATGACATGATCTTAGTTTTAATGTTGAGTTTCAAGCCAACTTTTGCACTCTCCTCCTTCACTCACATCAAGAGGCTCTTTAGTTGCTTTTCACTTTCTGCCATGAGAGTGGTATCATTTGCATATCTGAGGTTGTTCATATTTCTCCCAGCAATCTTAATTCCAACTGGTGATTCATCTAGCTCCGTCTTTCTCATGATGTGTTCTGCGTATAAGTTAAATAGACAGGACGACAGTATACAACCTTGCCGACCTCCTTTCTCAATTTTGAATCAATCAGTGGTTCTGTGTCCAGTTCTCACTATTGCTTCTTGACCCGCATATAGGTTTCACAAGAGACAAATAAGATGGTCTGGTACTCTCATCTCTTTAAGAACTTGCCACAATTTGTTGTGATCGATACAATCAAAGGCTTTAGCATAGTCAATGAAACAGAAGTAGATGTTTTTCTTGAACTCCCTAGCTTTCTCCATGATCCAGCGTATGTTGGCAATTTGATTTCTAGTTCCTCTCCCTCTTCGAAATCCTGCCTGTACTTCTGGTAGTTCTCTGTCCACATACTGCAGGAGCCTAGCTTGTAGGATTTTG